GCCTCCCCCCCTCCCGTGCAGGGCTTTTTTCGGCGGAGCCAGCAGAACAACGCCAGCTACTCCTGCTCCCGGCAGAGGAACTGCCTGATCGACCGCACCAACCGCAACCGCTGCCAGCACTGCCGCCTGCAGAAATGCCTGGCGCTGGGCATGTCCCGCGACGGTGAGGCTCGCCCGGGCTCCTCTCCCAGTTGGGCTACGGGGACCAAAACTGCTTCCCCACTGGAGACAGCCCGGGGAAAGGAGGGTTTTGGGAAGCTTTTGCATTTTTCTTGGGGGAAAAATAAAGAGGGAGAGGTGGGGAGGGACTCTGTGAGGGAGCGCAGCAATAGAGTTGGGGGGTTCAGGCTAGAGAAGAGAAGGCTCCGGGGAGACCTTGGAGCCCCTTCCAGTCCCTAAAGAAGGGGGGCTCCAGGAAAGCTGGGGAGGGACTCTGGATGAGGGAGGGGAGCCCTAGGAGGAGGGGGAAGGGTTGGACCCTGCAAGAGGGGAGATGGAGCTGAGCTGTGGGGAAGAACTTGTTTGGTGTGAGGGTGGGGAGAGCCTGGCCCAGGTTGGCCAGAGAAGCTGTGGCTGCCCCATCCCTGGAGGGGTTCAAGGGCAGGTTGGAGGGGGCTTGGAGCAACCTGGTGTGGTGGGAGGTGTCCCTGCCCAGGGCAGGGGGTGGCACTGGGGGGGCTTTGAGGTCCCTTCCCACCCAAACCATTCTATGATTCTATGAAAGTTTAAATGACATGGAACAACCATTGAACCCAGGGTTGGTGTGGGGCAGGGGGGTGTGTGCATCTGATGGGGCCCCTGCCCCACTCAGGGCTCAGACACCCCCAAACCCCATGCTCCCCCTGGGAGGCGGGATCCTTCCCAGGGCAGGGGGTCGGTCACGGCTCTGCTCTGTGGGGTGAAGCTGCTGTGACACGGCTGCCCCCTCCTCTCCTCCCCGGGCAGCGGTGAAGTTCGGCCGCATGTCGAAGAAGCAGCGGGACAGTCTCTACGCCGAGGTGCAGAAGCACCAGCAGAGCCAGGAGCAGAGCAGTGGCACCAAGGATGAGCCCGAGCCCCTGAGTCGTGTCTACACCACCAGCGTCAGCAGCGGCATCTCGGACCTGGACGACATCTCCACGCTGTCGGACGGGCTCCTCTTCGACTTCCCCCTCACCCCCGACGGCAGCAGCACCTACTACAACCTCGACCTGCTGGCCTCGGCGCAGCCCTCGCCTGACCAGTCCAGCCTGGATGTGGCCGATGCCACGCTCATCAAGCAGGAGTCCATCTACGAGCTGATGCTGGAGCCGGCCCTCTTCGCGCACGGGGGGCTGGAGGGCGGCCAGTTGGCTGCTGACATCTCCGTCCTCGAGATCGGTGAGCACTGGTGCGGTCCCCACACGATGCCAGGCACACACAGGGTGTGCAGCCCCCAAGGATGGAGCTTGGTGCAGGTCCTGGTCTAGTGGGAGGTGTCCCTGCCCGTGGAAAAGGGTTGAAACTAGATGATCTCTAAAGTCCCTTCCAACCCAAATCCTTCTGTGACTCTGTTACCCAGCCCCGGGTGCCCACGGAGCACCGGGCACACTCACAGCAAGGGACTGACCCAGCCTTGGCTCTCAGAGCAGCCCCAAATCTGTCCCCTCGCGGAGTCAGAGAGGCTGAGGTTGGAAGGGACCTCTGGAAGTCATCTGGTCCAACCTTCCTGCTCAAGTGGGGCCACCTAAAACTTAGAAATATCTCCAAGGATGGAGACTCCACAATCTCCCTGGGCATCCTGTGCTCGGTCACCCTCACAGTAAAAAAGTGTTTCCTGGTCACGGAACCACAGAATGGTTGGAGTTGGAAGAGACCCTGAAGACCATCTAGTTCCTACCCCTCTGCCATCAGAGGGAACCTCCCGTATATTGGTGGTACAGCATTAGAATATGTACAGGGCAGTGTCATAGTACAGTCCTAAGTGACTTTTGTCCAAGCTATGGCTTTAGTAGACCCTGGAACAAACTATTTATCAACAAGAGCCTCCTCTTGCAAGGTGGTGGTGGCTTCCTTTAGAAAAAGCAAGCAGTAACCTCAAAGGGTGGGTATCATAGAATCATAGAATGGTCCAGGCCAGAAGGGACCTCCAAAGGTCATCTAGTCCCACCTCCCCACAGTCAGCAGGGACACCCCCAACTAGACCAGGTTGCCCAGGGCCTCATCAAGCCTCACCCTGAATATCTCCAGAGGATGGGGCCAGACTCTTCTCAGTGGTGCAGGACAAGGGGCAACAGGCACAAACTGGAAGAGGGGAAATTCCATCTAAACGTGAGGGAAAAATTCTTTCCTGTGAGAGTGGCAGAGCCCTGGAAGAGGCTCTGGAGGAGTCTCTTTCTCTGGAGATACTCCAAACCTACCTGGGCACAACCCTGTGCGACCTGCTCTGGGTGGCCCTGCTCTGGCAGGGGGTTGGAGGAAATATCTCTTCCAACCCTGACCATTCTGTGAATTTTTATTTAAACTAAAACCACTCCAGGCTGAGCACTGGTGGAGCTCAGTGCACCTGAGATCATGTAGAGCATCCCCCCTCTGACCTGGGGGCAGCCTCCGATACCTCATCTGTCCTCAGATCCCTGTGACACCCTGCGTGAGCCCCTCTGCCCCTCCAGCCCCCCGTCCCAGCAGCCCCCCAGGAGACCTGGGAGGGTACAACCTTGGGGTGTGGGGACAGGGGGACCGCTGGAGTCCCCAGGGGCTCACCCCCCCGCTGCCCTGGCCTTGCAGACCGGGTGGCCCAGAACGTGGTGAAGTCGCACCTGGAGACGTGCCAGTACACGACGGAGGAGCTCAAGCGCCTGGCCTGGAGCCTCTACTCCCCCGAGGAGGTCCGCGCCTTGCAGAGCAAGGTGAGTCCCACTGCCACCACCCCCCCAGCTCCCCACCACCCCCAGAGCCACCGCAGCCCTCGGCAAGGGGACAAGGAGGATGAGGAGGGTCTTGCGGTGCTTTGGGAGCTGCCAAAGCCCAGTGCTGGGGGGAGGTTGTGGTGCCAGGTCACATCCCTGATGTCCTAGTGCCACCAGCCGCAGTCAATGGCACTTGGGTCCCCTCCCTGCCCCCTGCAATGGGGTGGGGGGACACACACAGGGTGGTGGGGTGTCAGCACGCCCTGAGGGATGTCCCCCCTGTGCCGGCAGAGCTGCGAGGCCATGTGGCAGCAGTGCTCGCTGCAGATCTCCAACGCCATCCAGTACGTGGTGGAGTTCGCCAAGCGCATCGAGGGCTTCATGGAGCTCTGCCAGAACGACCAAATCATCCTCCTGAAAGCCGGTAAGAGTAGGGGACCCCGCCATCCCCTCACGTCCCCACTGCCCCCCTCGTGTCTCCAACTCAATGCTTATAATCAATCATTCTAAATCCTTCAAGGGTGGGTGTCAGGAGGATGGGGCCAGTCTTTTTTCAGTGGTGCCCAGGGACAGGACAAGAGGAAATGGGCACAATCTTGAATAGAAGAAGTTCCATCTAAACATGAGGAGGAACTTCTTTGCTGTAAGGGTGGCAGAGCCCTGGCAGAGGCTGCCCAGGGAGGTGGTGGAGTCTCCTTCTCTGGAGACATTCAAACCCACCTGGACACGTTCCTGTGGGACCTGCTCTGGGTGGCCCTGCTCTGGCAGGGGGTTGGAGGAGATGATCTCCAGAGGTCCCTTCTGATCCCATGTGATTCTGTGAACTCCTCTCCCAAGCAGCAGCCATGGTCCCAGAGGCAAATCCTGTCTTTTCTCTTGGCTGGTGCTTTCCTTTCGGGGTCTCCCCTCCCTCACCCACCCCGGGTGCCCCCGGGCTCAGCATCGATGCTCGGGGAGCAGGTTCTGGGCTGGAAGGAGTTGAAGGTCATGTCTAAAGGTGATGGTATAGAGAGGGACAAGGGAAGTGGCCACCACAGGCAAAGGCTTTTCTCCATGGTCACCCTCAACCAAGTGGGACCAGAGGGTAAAGAAGCACAGTGGGTTTTCCCCCGGAAAAAGGGGTTCCAAACAAAAGGGGAGCAGGGAGGGAGAAGAGGAAAGGATTGGCCTCTTCTCCCAGAAAGAGACTGGGAAGAGAGGACTCTTCTCCCAGAAAGAGACTGGGGAGGAAGAGGTGGCAGCACACCCGTGTCCCCCACCCATCCATCTGCCCGAGCCAGTGACGCTGTGCCCAGGCGAGGCAGCTGAGTGTGAAAAAGCCCCAAAATGCCAGAAAAAAAGTGGAAAACCCGCCCAGTTTCTAGACTTTCAGGACTGGGGAGCTAAGAGCCTCACCGGCGTCCCAGCAGGGAGCTGTACCCCAAAGCCAGAGCTGGCCGTGCCCAACACGCTGGAGTTTAACTCATTCTTTCATTTATTCCTTCCATTTTCTTTCTATTTATTTTGTTTTCCCCCTCTCCTCTCTCGGTGCTCCACCATGACCTCGATCTCTGGGTCCGGTTGCGAATGCCTGGATAATATTTCCCTTTGGTGAAATATTGTGGTCTCAATTGGAAACCTTAAAAAAACCAAACCAAACCCTGAACCCGAATTGGATTTGTTGGCGTAACCATTCTGCTCTTGGGAACGAACAATCTGGACTTCAAACTTGCACTTGGGGGCTTTCCTCTGTTTTACGTTTGGTCCTGGGATGATGGACCTCCCCCCCCCTGCCCTGCCCTCCCTGCTCTGCGCTCTCTCTGCCTACGTCAGGTTGCCTGGAGGTGCTCCTGATCCGCATGATCCGGGCGTTCAACCCCTTGAACAACACCGTCCTCTTCGAGGGCAAGTTCGGCGGCGTCCAGATGTTCAAGTCGCTCGGTAAGAGCCGCTTCGCCGTCCTCGGGGACCCTCCTCTCCTCTCCTCTCCTCTCCTCTCCTCTCCACTCCACTCCACTACACTCCACTCCACCTCACTCCACTCCACCCCTGTTCCTTTATTTCCAT